TTTTTTTCAAAAGCGGGGGTCTCCCACAGGGGGTTTTCCCCAAAAAAAAAAAAATCCCCCCAAAAAAAAATATTTATTTTAAATTAAATTTTTAAATGACATTACCTGTTTTAATTCAGAATCACTTAAAATTTCCAATAAAAAAAACACAACTTTTCCCTCCCAAATCCCAATTCCCCAACCCCCTTTTAAAGGAGGGGTTGTACTTTATTTTCCGGACTCAACCGACTTATGAAAAAATAATTAAAAAAAATATAATTTTAAAAAATTTTTTAAATTAAAAAAATAAATTTAATTAAAATAATAATAAAAAAATTTAAAATTTTATAAAAATAATAGAAAACAACCACTGGGAAAGAATGAGTTCCAACCTTTTTGTGAAGCCCGAAAACCTTGGAATTCCAAATTCTTTAAGTGGTTTTTTGAAGTATAAAATTAATAATATATAAAATTAATTATATATATATATATATATATATATTTATATTTTAATGTTATATTTCATTATTATATATATGTATATATATATATATATATATATATATATATATATATATATATATATATATATATATAGGTACAGGTGTACACCTGCTCGTTAATTCAGATATCTAATTAAATTAGCCAATCACGTTACAACACCTCATTGCCATTGTCAAGAAGTTCAATTGTTCAGACCGAATATCAGAATGGGGGAAGAAATGGGATCTCAGATACTGCTGATCTCCTGGGATTTTCTTGCACAACAGACTTCAGAGGTTACAGACAATGGTGTGAAAGCACAAAACATCCAGTGAGAGGCACTTACGTAGGAGAAAACGCCTTTATAATCAGAGAGGACAGAGGAGAATGGAAGAACTGGTTCAAGCTGACAGGAAGGTGACAGTAACTCAAATAACGATGTGTTACAACAATTTTATACAGAAAATGAATATCTCTTAAAGAACCGAAAGTTCAACCTTAAACTGAGGCTACAGTGGGCACTGGCTCACCAAAACAGTGCAGTTGAAGACTGGAAAACTTCACTTGGTCGGACGAATTGCGAAATCTGCTGCGACATGCACATGATAAGGTCAGTATTTGGCGTAAACGTTTGGGATGTGGAGGACCGGGAGATTCGCAGCATGAATATGCAGCTCACAAATCTGCAGCAACTACGTGATGCTGTCATGTCATCATAGACCAGCACATTGTTGAATCCATGCCACGAAGAATTCAGGCTGTTTTGGGGCAAAGGGAAGCTCTACCCAGTGCTAGGAACGTGTTTCTAGTGGCTACTGAATGGTTTGTGTGTATGTGTGTGTGTGTGTGTGTGTGTGTGTGTGTGTGTGTGTGTGTGTGTGTGTGTGTGTGTGTGTGTGTGTGTGTTGTGTGTGTGTGTGTGTGTGTGTTTGTGTGTGTGTGTGTGTGGTGGTGTGTGTGGGTGTGTATGCATGTATGTATGTATGTATGTATGTATGTATGTATGTATGTATGTATGTATGTATGTATGTATGCATGTATGTATGTATGTATGTATGTATGTAATATATATATTATTTTATTAATAATATCTTATATATAAATATATATATATTTAACATATATATGCAAATATATTTATAATAATATATATATATATATATATATTTTATATATATATATATTATAGATATATCTATAATGCGTGCCGAATAGGTAAACTATGCGATTTTATTAATTGAACTCTCTTCTTGCTAATAAGGCAAGCGAATAATTTGTTAGACAGTAATCTCGCAAAAAATTTCTGAACTAATGAAAATAAAAATATTAAAATCATTGTGTTTGTTTATTATTAAATTACTGTAAATTTATCTAAAATATATTGGGTTACATTAGGCTAAACTAAACTGCGCTTGTTATAATAATGTTAGGCGAGTTTTCTAAGGTTCTTTTGGTACAAAATTATTAATTTTTACATTAACATAATAAAAAAAAATATATCTATCGGAATAAGAGAAAATTTTAGAAAGGACTTAATTTTAAATGAGTTCTTGCTAATTGACCAGTGTTACCTATTCGGCACTTTCTTGAACATTCTATTATGCTTCATTCTCTCTAACTAAACACAAACAAACCTTCTCTCATCTCTATGAATTATGACTTGGTAATTCTAGCTGTCTTCTAATTACTACGCTCCAAATTCTCCGCATATTATTTTCACCACGCGTTGCCCTTAAACATAACATCGTCACTGCCTCCAGCCTCCTCCTTGCTTAAGTGTTTAAAGCCCACGTCTCACACCCATTTGTGTGTTGGTACGACCATACTCATGCACATTACCCCCTTTTTCCTCTATAAAGTTCTTTTTTTTTTCCACATATCCCTCAACACTCTCTTCTATTCACTGGTTCGTCTTATCTTTCACAAACCCGTCTGCCGAAACGTCCGCTGTTAAATATATCTGAATACAATCACATCCTCCATACTCCCTCCCTCAAATTTAATGTTCATTGCCTAGACTTTCTGTTGTTTTCATCACTTTGCTCTTTCCCATAAACACCTTTGCATTCTTTTACATTTTCTCAAAAATTCCTCCACCAAACTTTGCAACAGCCGTCATAGTCCGTATTAATGAAATGTGAAAACATTTTTAAGCTTCGATTACAAAACAAATATTTAAATTACTTTTATTTGGCAAACGATCTTTACCAATATGGGCTAATTAAGAGGTTTTTACCTGAAAACAATATATATATATATATATATATATATATATATATATATATATATATATATATATATATATATATATATACATATATATATATATATATATATATATATATATATATATATATATATATATATATATATATATAAAATATATATATATATATATATATTATATATATATATATATATATGTCGTGCCGAATATGTAGAACTGGCCAATTAGCAAGAACTCATTTAAAATTAAGTTCTTTCTGAACTTTTCTCTTACACGTTTAAAGATATATTTTCTTCATTTTTAATTTTGCGCCAAAAGAATCTTAGAAAACTTACCTAACCTTATTATAACAAGAGTAATTTATTTTAGCCTAACCCAACTAAGTACATTTTAAATACGTTTACAATAATTTAGTACTAAACAAACACAATCAAATATATTTTTTGTCGTTAGGTTCAGAATAATTTTGGCGAAATTATTGCATACACAAATTTTCGCTTGTCCTATATGGCAAGATGAGCGTTGCTGTTTAAGCCAAGATCGCAAGTTCTGCCTATTCGGCACGATATATATATATATATATTATATATTATATATATATATATATATATATATATATATATATATATATATATATATATATATATATATGTCGTGCCGAATATGTAAAACTGGTCAATTAGCAAGAACTCATTTAAAATTAAGCCCTTTCTAAAATTTTGTCTTATACGTTTAAAGATATTTTTTTTTCATTAATGTTAATGTAAAAAATTTTAATTTTGCTCCTAAAGAATCTTAGAAAACTTACCTAACCTTGTTATAAAAAGAACAATTTATTTTAGCCTAACCCGACCAAATATATTTTAGATTTGTTTGCAATAATTTAATACTAAACAAACACATTGAAATATATTTTTTTCGTTATCGTCAGAATGATTATGGCGAAATTATTGCATACACAAATTTTCACTTGTCCTATATGGCAATATGAACGTTGCTATTTAAGCCAAGATGGCAAGTTCTGCCTATTCGGCACGACATATATATATATATATAGATAGATAGATAGATACATAGATAGATAGACAGATAGATAGATAGATTCGACATTATTTCTTAGTATCAATCAAAACACATCCAGAGATGTAATGAGAAATGCTTTTTGATATAATAAAACCTGCTGAAGAAGTAAAATATTAAAACTTAAATGATTTAAACCCAAACGAAACGAGTTTTTACTTTAATGGTCGTTTTTATGTTATTCAAAAAGATTAAAAACCTTCTATTGTATGTAACCAAAACAGAAACATAAACACCCACACACACACACACACACACACACACACACACACACACACACACACACACACACACACACACACACACACACACACACACACACACACACACACACACACACACACACACAAATACAAATACGCATTAAAATAAGTTCTTTGAAATACGTCCCTTAAATAAATTAACTGCTTTGTAATCTTACATTCGAATGTCGTCTCTCAAACTGAGTAACATTTAAGATAGGTATCCGAAACAATTTTTTTTTTTTTTTGGAGTTTTTCATCATATGTTCAGAAACTGTAAGCATGCCGGTCCTAGACGGATGAATAAATAGTGGAATGCTTGAAGTTATTCACATCACCCTACTGACATCTCCCAGCTCACTTTGGCATATTCCATTACCTCATATATGCAACCCATCCGGTGTGATGGAAGACGACGGTGATACATAACTAATTTTTGTGCTCACGATGTGACTCATACAGATGATATACTCAAACTTGTTAAAAGAAAAATATCAAATCTGCCCGGTAAAGGTACGAACTCCTTTCTCCTAATTTTCTTCGTTAATATTGTGAAGTAAGCCAGTGTGCTTTGAGGCGGAATATAAATATGTAATTTCAATATTTGTTTTATTTGTTTTGTTCCATAAACTATCATCAGAAAATTCTATAAATCTTTCAAGTACACTAAAAGAACTTTTTTTTTCTTTGTGTTAATTTCTTTCTGAATCAGTATCTTGTTTATGGTCTTACGTCCAACTTAGTGGTGCTGGCTGTCTTTATCACATTCCATATCTACCTGGCGAGTACATTCTTTTCTTTAATAAATCATCTAATAATCCCATACATTGCAATGCGAAAAGGTGTAAGAAGTTGTCGGGTGAGTTACTTAAAGTTGTTCACATTAGATGCACTCTTGCTTCAAGTTTAAATTATCAGTTTAATATACACCACGATAAAACAGAGGTTGAGGACGTTGCGAGATGCTGGTACTGAAGTGCGCGTGGTACTTTCAGCGAAGGTGAGAGTCGTTGGTCATCGCCCCAACCTGACCAACTACAAACACGTCTGACTCAGGGCCTGGCTCAGGCACGACTGACTCTGCCTCGCACCCGCTCTTTCTCCCTCTCTCTCTCTCACTCTTCCGTGCGCCTCTTCCACTCTCACCACTCTGGCTCTCCATCCCTTCCCCTTTCCTGGTCCCTTTTCCTGTCAGTCATCTAAGCACCTGTATCAATTAAGAACAATTGGAGGTAAGACTCGGGTTGTCTGCTTCCCAGCAATATGATTAAGAACTTTCTGCAGATTATGTGCAGAAGCGACAAAACAAAATTCCAGTAGTTTAGGAAGAAAATGCAGCTTTTGTTTACTTTAAAGAAAGAAGCAAAATTTCCGTGGCCTTGAGGATGAGGGGAAGGCAGAGTTTTGGAACTAGGATGGAGTCAGTGTTTGTTTTCCTCCGCTGCTTGCCATGAATCCCTTAGAGGTGGAAGACGCATTTTTTAATGCTTTCAAGTGTAACAGAGAATATTTTGAGCATTAATGTGGCACGAAACTAATGTTTACTATCTCTGAGAGAGAGAAAAACACGTCTTCGAGTGAGGGCAAGGTAATGTTTCCTTTCTCTGACCGCATTAGCAATGCAGTTCGTGCAGTGAAGCCGCTGTTTCTTTGCTTTTGTGCGGCAGTTAGAAATATTTTCTGTCATCATGTCGAATGATAATAAAATTAGCCTTTTTTTAATCTCCTGCCTGAACAGTGTGAATGTCGCTGTCCATTTGTCAAATCATTTATCGTAATTCAGATTTGTTGTTGCACTGAAAATACCAGCAGTCAGTTATATAAAGAATTTATATATATATATATATATATATATATATATATATATATATATATATATATACATTATTGTAACCACGAACAAGTGGTATTTAATTAAAAACAACACTGCGACTAGCCAGAGTACCGAACCTGTGTTGCTTTAGCCCGCCTCATGGTGAGCGAAAAATCACGACGCTCTAACCCACTGGACCATACACTCCTACAAGAGTCACGCACCCAGCAGAGCTAGGAATTGTACTGTGATCCGAGGACATACGATGATGTACTACTTGTTCGTATTTCCAATACTAAATATACTGCTTGTGGTGGTTAGTACATCAAACGGGGAGTAGAATGAAATTAGCACTGACACACCCACACCATCGTATGTCCTCGGATCACGGTACAACACCTAGCTCTGCTGGGTGCGTGATTCTTGTAAGATTGTATGGTCCAGTGGGTTAGAGCATCGGGAGTTTTAGTTCAACATTCATGTTAATGTGAAACTTAATAATTTTATTCCAAAAGGACCTAAGGAAACTTACCTTATAGCAAGCGTAATTTAATTTAGCCGAATCCAACTAAATATATTTTAGATAAGTTTACAACAATTTAATAATAAACAAACATAATTAAATATATATCTTTTGTTAGATTCAGAATGATTTTTTGAAATTATTGCATACCCAAATTTTCTCTTGCCCTATTCGGCAAAGAAGTTCATTGCTATTTAAGCCAAAATCACAAGTTTTACTTATTCGGCACTACTTAAGTTGTATTGTCTCTTGAGGTGGGACAATGTGTCGTGGGGTCGAATCCTGGCCTGCCGCATATATATATATATATATATATATATATATATATATATATATATATATGCGCAAGGAATTCGCAAGAGCAGGCGAAATATACACAAACACTGATCTCTGGCCGAAGGAGACTCGAACCTACGAACCTTGGAACAAGGTACGCAGTGCTTTACCATTCTCACCACACTGGATGCATGCAGGGAATGAGATGAAAAGCTGTAAGCCTTCTCCCTGAAAGCTGGCTGCCTTGGATTAACGTCTAGCGCAAGCTGGGCGCCAAGGTATTCGTCCAGTGCGGTGAGAATGGTAAAGCACTGCATACCTTGTTCCAAGGTTCGAAGGTTCGAGTCTCCTTCGGCCAGAGATCAGTGTATATATAATATATATATATATATATATATATATATATATATATATATATATAGATATATGTCGTGCCGAATATGTAAAACTGGTCAATTAGCAAGAACTCATTTAAAATTAAGTCCTTTCGGAAATTTTATCTTATACGTTTAAAGATATATTTTTTTCATTAATGTTAATGTATTTTTTTATAATTTTGCACCAAAAGAATCTTAGAAAACTTACCTAACCTTATTATAACAAGCACAATTTATTTTAGCCTAACCCAACTAAATATATTTTAAATATGTTTACAATAATTTAGTACTAACAAATGCAATCAAATATAATTTTTTTCGTTAGGTTCAGAACGATTTTGGCGAAATTATTGCATAGACAAATTTTCACTTACCCTATATGGCAAGATGAGCGTTGCTATTTAAGCCAAGATCGCAAGTTCTGCCTATTCGGCACGACATATATATATATATATATATATATATATATATATATATATATATATATATATATATATATATATATATATATATATATCAGGAGAGAGAGATCACATGTCTATCTGAAATATACAGCAAAGTCAAGCATATATTCACCATCAGAGCTGGAAAGCAAAGGCAGGAGGGGGAGCTCAAGCGAGATAGTGGTGTTAGAGGTAAGGTGATGGGGGAGGAAAGAAAGGCGAGGGAAAAGTGAAGGAGAGGAATGAGTTTGTGAGAAAAGGGAATGAGATTAGGGAAAGTGAGGCAAAAGAATGTGAGGAGGAGTAGATTTAAAGGAAAGAAAGATAAGTAAAGGACAAATGAGGGAAAGGGAGTTGAGGGAATTACAGAAATTTGAATGATAAGTGAGTGAAGGAAATTATAGGAATGGAGAGGTGAGGAAACAGTCGCAAGGAGTTCCATAATAATAATAATAATATTATTATTATTATTTATTATTATTATTATTATTATTATTATTAGTAGTAGTAGTAGTAGTAGTAGTAGTAGTAGTAGTAGTAGTAGTAGTAGTAGTATTGTATTATTATTATCATTATTATTATTATTATTATTATTATTATATTATTATTATTATTATTATTATTATTATTATTATTATTATATTATTTATTATTATTATCATTATTATTATTATTATTATTATTATTATTATTATTATTATTATTATTATTATTATTATTAGTATATAATGGAGAAAGTTGTATATACTTGAAAATAGTTTAAAAGTTGCAGAAATTTATGTTTCTATAAAAAATAACTAGGAGACATGCAAATATTGTTTTACCGTTGTAAACTGGGGAGATTAGGTAGGTTTACTTGTTATATACTTATTATTGTTGCTGCTATTATTATTATTATTATTATTATTATTATTATTATTATTATTATTATTATTATTATTATTATTATTAATATTATTATTATTAAAGAACAAAAAGGCACAATAACGTGACTGGAACAATACACAACCCACATGTAGGAGAAAAAAGCTTATGACGACTTTTCGGTCTGACTTGAACCACTTACAGAGTGACTAAGTCAATGGTCCAGGGTGGACCGAAACGTCGTCGTAAGCTTCTTTATTCTATGTGCGGGTTATTTGTCTATTATTATTATTATTACTATTATTATTATTATTATTATTATTATTATTATTATTATTATTATTATTATTATTATTATTTTTATTCAACTCAGGTTTGGTCTAAGAAAGTTGTGGGTTTACTCTAGTTGCTTGGATCCATAGGCTTGTACTGACGTCAGGGCACCTCCAGTGAAGGAAGGTTGGCCACAGTGTAAGAATCCTCGAAGTGTTGAGTGTCTCATACTCTCTGCCTTATTTAAGCATTTATCAGTGAAAGCAACGGTGACTGTGACGGACCCTCCGTTAAAAAACGATGCGCGAAACATTGCATACGGTGACTAGCAATTCCTTCTTCAAATTTCTGATTTTCGTATACCGTAAGAATAACCGTTCCAGATCAACAACTGACCTGTTTCATTAGGTTGGCTAAGTTGTTTACCTATATATTTATCGTATCTTATATCTTTCACTGGTCGGGTGATTTAGACGGGCGAAGTGTGTGAAAAATCTTCAAGGGAAATTAATTGAGTTTGAAGGCCTTCAGTAACGTACGCTAGAGTTCTTTATTGATTAGTTTGGTGAAAGAACGTTAAACGCTCCTTAAAGTCATTCTATGGTTTTTATACTCTGGATAAAAGCAACTTTCATCATTTTTCTTTGGTATCTCTCTTCTTTGATATTCAGTTTGGCTCTGTTCTACGCCAATGATTTTAACTTGTTAGTTGCAGTGGATTACGCAAACATTGTTAGCGCTTTTGCTCTTGTTGCTGCTGGTGGATTCTAAGACATACATCTAAACAGATATTTATCCTTTGATAATGTTTCTCATCATATTATAGAATTTAGTGACCGTCTCTGAGTATATGTCAGAGTAGGACTATGTGATCCTCTTTGTGATAGTTCTTGTAAAAATTTGATACAAAGAAAAATCTTGGAAGATCTTCAGGAAATGCAAATTGTATGAAAGATGTGAAGTGGTATATTATTAAACTAAGTCACTATAAAATGAAACAAAAATAAAAAAGATAACATTTTTGATAATGAAACATCACCTTTTTTAAAAATTTAAAAAATGTGAGTATTTAAATCTTCACTATACATACATATTTTAGAATTACCAATATATGCACATTATTATAATTATATTCATGGGAGAGCGCAAAACCCATAGGATTATACAGCGCATGTGTGGGGGGGGGGAATGGTAGGTATTCAGACTCAAATCAGGGAACCGGAGCACAGATCCAATTCCCTAGATCAAGAGCCCCTCACCAGTGTCAAGGAACCTCCCTTGAGGCAAATATATGCACAGCATCAACGAGAAGTGATTGCAGGACGTGTACTACCTGGTTATAAACCAGCTGCAATTTGCGGAAAACAAGAAGTATGGAAGTTTTCACAGCAGAAGAAGACTCACCGTCACAACAGGAAGCTAATGACTTACGATCAGTTGTGGCATGAAGCATATTGACGTGACGAACAGATTTCTTCTGACTTGAGGAAAACATTCTG